GAAAAAATCACACAAACTAAAGTGCACACTGACTATGGCTCTACCACTTGCATGTTGTAAACATGTTGTTAACGGTTTCTGATTTAGCTTCCAGCAATGAATATGATATGTAAACATGTGGATTGCACTTTTTCTCGTCCTTGGCCATTTACACACAGTAGTTCTATGATCAAAGCTTGGTGTTGCATGTTACATGATGTTTTCCTCATCTACTGTCATTCCAGTATGTCATATGAAGCACAGAACAGCATGTGTGCACAACAGTGAAGCCCAAGGGTCACAGATTTCTTGGTCTTTTAATGGCATTTATTAACAGTAAGAAAAACATTTTTCTTTTGTGGATTTCACTGTTACCAGGCAACAGCATCTCCTACTTGTTAGACCAATAAACTGATGTTTGACAAAGATAATACCAAGTTACATTAACTTTGTTCAAAATGTTACATTCATTCATTTATGAATTTGAGCCGAATTATCTTCTTGAGCCTGTGCTGTTATGAAAAACTCAACACTTTGTGGAGGCATATCTCTAAATCATTTCAACTACTAATACTCACGACTTGTCAGCTATAGGTGGGAGCAGTCCACTCATTTATCAGTGGAGCACCAAAGACTAATTGGCTTTGTACTGAACAGAAAGGTTTTTGCACACGCAGGGCTCGACACTAACTTTTAAAAGTGGTTGCCAGGTTGGTAACCAGGCACCAGCTTTTTGGTCTACTCACCTTATATTTTGAGTAGGGTTAGATACAGTGCAATTATACATCAGTTTGATAATTAAAATGTGACAAGTTAAATGTTTAAAAGCTTACATTGTGCACAGAGAGCAGCAGAGATTCAGCCAGAGGCCTTGAGTGTGATGGCATTGTCAGATTAAAGGCCAAAGACCAAGAAATGGTTCATTCTCAAAATGGTTGCCAGTGGCAACCTGGCAACTGTGACTGTAGAGCCGTGACTTGTAAACATCTTTAGATTATTGTGTCCACCATTGTTTTTGTTGCCGGAGTCAGACAACACAATAGGCAAACACTTAGAGGTAATTTGAGTCTACCGTGACTTGTTTGTCTTTGGATTATGGGAGGACACACCTTAGTGACCTGGAACATGTAACCTGAGCCAAATGCTACACATAACTGCTTCGAATAACGGGAAAGTTGTGCAAAAATGATGACTAATCAATGTGCAAAGTGCCTGGCGTGGTCCATTTGGTATTAGTGATTTGATGTTAGAGATTCAGAAATGTACGACTGAACGAGTGAAGGACCTGACGAGTAAGTCTGCGAACAAGCAGGAGGGACCAAGCAGATAACAAAGGTGTTTTTGTTTTGAGAACTAACACTAGAGAGTGAGACAGAGTAAAGGTGCCATACAGATGGTGTTTCTAATTAAAAAAATAAAGATAAAGACAACTTAAAGTAAGATGAAAAAAGAAAACGGCTACATTTAGAGCAGCTGTTAGTGAAAACCAGCTTGCAGTGTGAGTGATGGTTTCAGGGCTTTGTCAGAGAGCCTTCCACAATCCTCCAGGATTTAAAGGATGACAGGAAGTATAACCCACATCTCTATGCCCTGTCTGCAACCAGGAAACACCATGACACCTTAAATAGATAAAAGGGAGTGGATTTGACGGTAGATCTTAATTCTTATCAAGGCCCTCTCCATGCTAGAGTGATTTAACCTCATTGACAAGTTAGTGATCCCAGTCTCTCCTCTCCTCTCCTCTCCTCTCCTCTCTACACCATTAGGTGCCATCATTACTAGCATTCATCTCATTATTCACAGATCAGAATTAATGATAAAATCTTATGCCGTCTCCAAACCAGGACATTTAGATTTCCCTATTCCTCCTCCTTCTGTTTTTTGGGGGGAACATAAATTCTTAACGGTTCTCTTAATGTCCGTCTGGGCTGGAAGTCAGTGGTTTGTGTAGACAGAAGGCTGCACAATAATTTACTATAAAGAATATGACGTTAGACGTAGTGTTTTTCAAGCATGAAATTAGGAGCCATAAAAATCTGAATACCCATAAATAAAGAGTCTGGATAAAAGTTAAATGAAAGTTGCATGAACTGGAAGTATTTGGGAGGTGTTTGCAGACGTGCTTCTTTGGCTGCTATTTTTTTTTTGTTTGTGACAAGGGAGGTCTTGCTTGAAATTTTGTGTTATGCTGTTTCAGTGCTGTGGACGTGGAGAACATGTTAGTCACGCACCTCAGTTTCTCTGCTTATGCTGGGTTTGACTGAAATCAGCTCCTCATTGCTCACTGTGGGAATTAAGATTAAGTAAAATGCAGTGAAGAGAAGGTTATGTTCTTTCAAGAGAGACCATTGGTTCCTTTTATCCAAATGCCTGACTGTCAGCACAGTCCTGTCTCAGACAGGATTTGTGTCCATTTGCACTGTGTTAAAGCATAAGGGTGGAGAAATTCTAGAATTATCTTACTGTCACATCCCGAGGTTACGTTAACCAAATATATTTCCTGTCACTGACTGACTTTATATGACTGTAAGCCTGTCTATAATGGATCAGAACACAGAGGGCAACCAACTGTAGCTTTAAAGGAGAAGTCCGGTATTTTACACTTTGAGCCCCATTTCTGGGTTGTTTATGATGAAATAGAGTGGTTAAGACCAACAGTGCCGCCTATGGCCATGTGTGAACCTGTCCTAAAACCACCTTAAACGTTCGTTTTCAAGCCATGAAACTCGTCGGTGGTGTTCGTTGATGTTCTGACATAAAAATCGTAGTAAACTGGGGTTTCCGTGATGATTTATTTGAGATTTTGTCTAATCCATTGGTTTTCTATAGAAGCCTCATTGTCTGTTGGTATTAATCCGCCACCAGAAACGGAAAGGGGGTGTTTACGACAAGGTTGTAGGCATTGTAGTCTTTTAGCTCAGCGAAAGTGCCGGCTCGACAGTGCTGTATGCGCTCCTAGAGGAAGAACGAGAACGAACGAAAAAGTTTTGTAATAAGTTTAAACAACTGCACAATGGATTACTCGTTTGTAAACAACCTTGGCAGTACAATGCCTTTGAACACAACGCCAACCTTCTTCTTCTGCTTCTTTTCTGTTTTTTTTCTTCCATTACATTGCAATGGTTTCCTGCCAGTTGGTGACACCCACGTAAAGGAGTGTTATCGCCATCAAGTGGGCTGGAGTGTGTAACGCCTCAGGGTCAAACGAACAGTCAAGCGGAAGTTTACACACGGGTGTGAGGCAGCTGAAAAAAATTGTTTCACAATCAAGATGAATAGTGAAAACACGGATGGAAACCACAGTTTGCTATGATTTTTATGTCAAAACATCAACGAACACCACTGACCAAACGAACGTTTAGGGTGGCTTTAGGACAGGTTCACACATGGCCATAGGCAGCACTGTTAAGCCAGGCAGGGGAAAGCCAAATTCTCAGAAAAGGAGCAATCGTCACAATTTTGGTCTTAACCAATCTATTTCATCCTAAACAACCCAGAAATTGGGCTCAAAGTACAAAATACCGGGCTTCTCCTTTAAGTGACTGATTTATAGCGTAAGCATGACCTTGTCGTCTTGGCTTTAGCCATCACATTGGCAGGCTACATTGCTACATGCCATGGCAAAATGTTGCGGCAGCCAAGTGTCCAAAGTTTATTTGCACAGTTGGTGTCTCTGTTCATCTTTTCTCTCCAGCACCCCAGAACAATGCTCTGGCACTTCTTTTCCCTCCAAGAGAGGAAATAGAATATTCACAGTTTGTCATAATGTGGTTGAAATTTACATACAGTTTTATCAGGCCATGAATATCCAATCATCACAGTTATGTATGTTATGCAAGAGAGACAGTAAAAACAAATGGAATGGTCATGGTTGTCAAATTGGCTTTTCAGGTGTGTCGATTGATTCACGACATCCACTCATGCATCGAGTAACATGAAAGAATATATTGCACAGTAACAGTTGCAGGTAGCTGCCGGCAGTAGCCTTGGAGCCACACAGTGAATTGGATTATTTTTTTTCTCAGTCGATAGCTGCTAACTGTTAACTAGTAAAGATGAAAAGGCAGCAAAACATCCTTTCATTCTGTAATTACAATTAAATAGGAGAGACTCATCCTGAGTGAGAAGAATAGTTATTCACGTGCACATCAGTATGAAAAAGGGAATAGTCTTTTTGTGACTTGTGATGTCATATATTTAAAGGAGTGGGTTGAAGCTGAAGTAGAATAGGGAATCCCCATTGGAGTCTAGACGCTGATGGTGATGAGATGAAGAGTTTTGAGGATGTGGATGTGAAGAGGAGTGGGCTTTTGATGAGCTTATCTCTCAGGTGAATGGGGTGGAGGAGGGTGCGACGATTCCGCCTAAAATGACACTGACAGCAGCAGAGAGGAGAACAGTTTTGAAGTTTGACAGCAGCTACATGATTGGTTGATAGAGATTGTGGCAACATTTGGCTGTTTAACTGGATGAGCGAACGCCCATGATTGGCTGATCGGAGGAAGTGAAACAGAGAATTGTGAATGAATGTAGCATCAAGAAAGTCTTCCCGATTGAACTTATGCTGAGCTTCATTTGACGTATGTATGTGTTAACTCGCTATCATAGAAACAGTGGTTACATAACAAGTCACATTTTAACCTAGCGCTCTAATACTAAATATAAAATTTAAATTAAAATTAGTAACAGATTTTGACGGAATTATTGCGACCCTGTCTGTCGTAATGATGCACAATGGAAAGTCCAACTCTGGGATTTCATGGGATTTGTTACAAGCCTCTGTATCGTGGCTAATGCTGTGGTTATAGAGTATTTTACATATGTGATGTATTTTGACACCATGGATAAGAGTTTCACAATGAGCCTGTAAACAAAGCATGATGGTAACGTGCTTAGTCTCGGCGTCCATAAATAGTGTGTGTGTGTTAAAATGCATTCACTGCCAAATTTGGATGACAATGTTTTTCCTCCTCACCAAGGTAACTGTGTTTCTGACTCCATTCCCCTTTGTGTCTCCACAGAAACCTGCTGGACAGGGACACCTTCTCCAAATCAGACCCAAGTAAGATCCACCACCTCTCTCTTTGTGTTTCTGTCAGTGCATGATTGTTAATTCTATAGCTCCAGATCACAAGGAGAAGGTAAGGACAGAAAAGACGGACGTGAGGCAAATTAAGGTATAAAAAAGGAGAGAACAAATTAGAAAAATGTCAGAAATAGGAGGAACAAATGGAGTGTAAGGGAGGGAGGAATTAATTAGGCACCTAAAGAAGGTCTTTTCTTTTGCCATATGTAGTCGTGACTCACTTCTTACATGTGTAAGTGTTTGTTTCGTTCACTAAATGCATCTGCTCGGCTGGAGGCGGGTCTGACTAATGCACGAGGCTACCTACAGCAAGAAGCTTTTCCATATAGATTCACACAATGGGCGACAATTCTCTGCTTTTCTCCCAGCAGTTAAAATCATTAAAATAATTATGTTAGTGCCATGGAAGTGAGTTAAAGGGACAGTTTGACATTTGTAAATAAGCCTATTCACTTCCTCTCTTAGAGTTCGACGAGACTACTCTGCTGTATGCCAGAGCTGTTGGCTTGAGACTTACTGTGCGTTCCAGTACCCATACTACCATACTATTAAGTATGCCAGATAAAGATGCAGTATGCCGCATTAGATGCAGTATGCCAAAAATACCAGGATTTTCTACTACATGTATGTCTGGTTGGATTTTGCAGTATGCAAGCCTGCATGTTTTTCTGGCTGTTCTGACCCACAATCCAATGCGCAGCAAAAGATACGTCACATCAACTGAGCCGCAAACAGATGACAGCTTGACAGCTTGTTGGCAGCTGACTTACAGCCTTCAGAGTCTGTAATGATGGATGACAGCACGTGCAAGTGACTGATGACCAGTCGAATAGTAATAACAGCAAAATCAATTGTTTAAATGAACATAACATGACATAACTGTGAAAATAACAATGACAGAGAAATACATATGGTCATATGTAATGTCACTGTCCGGAATATATGTGACAATCTACACTGTATGAAAAGTTCAAACTACATACATTGCCAGGTAACAACAGCAGAGCTCACTGGATCGTTTTCTTTTGCAAGCTTGATGAATGGCGTTTTGTTTTATCTCCAAGATAACAGATATGTGAGAAAAAGGGTCAAAGTTCAATGTTACGAAGAAGTACGTATGTCCCGATTGTGTGCTCACTGCATCCAACAGTACATACTTTATAAGAGCAGCTGCAGTGCCCACTAAAGTATAAAGGAAAGTATGTGCTTCAGAACGCACCCTTAGACTCGTCTGACAAGAGACTTTAATTATTAGACATCTAAAAACTTGAGTTCATTAGAGAGTGAACCAAAGGCTTCTACACAAAGAGGTAATCCTTTCCTATCTTTTTCCTTGAAACCGGTATACTGCTGCAACCCTAGTCGCAACCCTCGCGAAACAACTCGTTTCACTATTGGGATTTGATCCATTTTGTCAATAATATTTTTAAAGTCTGAAAGAGCCGCACAATGAAATCATTTTATCCCCGTTCAAGTTAGCAGAGGGTTAAACCAGAATTAGTCGGCTCAGCCCCTGTAAGACTCAAGAACGCTTGCTCTATACGCCCCACCATACGGAAGATCCAATAATTTCATAATATGGGAATCAAGCTTTTTTGGCTTCATGCGCCACTGAGCAGCTTTCATAGGAATGAATGAGGTCCCGCCTCCAATGCTGTATCAAGGTCTCTTTATACATCAATGGAGACCCCTAGCAGCAGAAATGACATGCAGTACTGTGCATATAAGAGTGGTTTGTAGATACTGGATGTATTTCTCTAGTGGGTGTTTGAGTATGTCATTGTGAATGTGGGTGTGTGTGTGCTAGGGAGTATGGATCATCATCATCCTGATCAGAAATGATATTTGTCATTTTAAAGTGTGTACAAATTTAGGTTATAATATCAGGATGACCAACACACACACACACACACACACACGCTGTTTTTGCAAAACACTACATCAGCACATTTACATAAGCACAGGATAAAAATGACTCAAGGTGATGATGATGACAGTGATGAACAGGATGACGAGGATGACACTGATTAACACGGGGATGATGATGATGAGGAGGAAGAAGCTCAGACTTTACCCATTCATTTAGGCGTGCTCTTGTGCTGAGTAGCAGTTGTGATTATGCTGAGCACTGCGACTTCAGTCTCTTGACATGAGCCAGCCTGACGGGGGAAAAGAGCAAGGAGGGAAAGGAAAGAGTAAAAAGATCATGTCGAAGATACTGGGAATAAAGAGATACCTTGGATCTGTCACTCGCTGATAAAAATTTAGAGAGTGATCCAAAGAGAAAACCAAGACCCTCTGCTACAAGTGGAAAAGAGACATGAAGCCACATCTATCTGTTCCCTAAAATATCACCTGTCTGTTAATCCAGAAATAACAAGAAATATCTGGTGTATCTGCGTGTACGTTCAAATTGATATATCTTTCTATCACGTATCTGAAAAGAACATCAAAGGCCTTTAGAAATGAAGTGTATGATGTGCGAGCTCAGTAATTTGCCTTTCAGTGAATTGTCTCGTTTGGGGGAAATTGCTTAATGGCCTGAAATGATGCCTCTCACCATTTGAAGATGGAAATATGTTTGGGCTTCATAAATAAAACTATTAGGTGCTTTGATCTAGTTTTGTTATTTCTTATTAATGCATTTATGCCTTATTAGTCATATTCTGATGGATCCAATGAATACCATAACGTCTGAGTTTGTTTTTTTGTAGTTATTTGCTTGGCGCTAACGAAAGTAATGTTTCTCAATCCTCCCCTTAGTTAGCCTAGCCACCAGTTCAGAATTATAATGAAGAATACATGTACAATGTTCAGGTAGTTGTTGGGTCCAGTATTGAGAAGTTCTGGGGAACATATATATGGATGACAGCATGGGTTTTTCACATGTCTTTAATGTTATGTGTCTCTGTTCTTCACAGTTTGTGTCCTTTACACACAAGGCATGGGCAACAAGGAGTGGAGAGAGGTGAGAACTAAAGAGAATATGCTGCGGCTAATGTTGGTTTCATCACCACAGGGCTCGACATTAAGGCTTGTACGCAACAAGTGGATTTTTTGTTGGGCAACTGTGACGGAAACTTACCCGCTCCAACAGACAATCTCAAAGTCATAAACAAACCAACCTAAAAAAAAGTGTCTTTCGTGATTAGCTAAGCTACAAACATAGCTACCTGGAGATGAAGTAGAACTAGCTGTGTGACAGGATGTGCGATTACTGACAGCAGCAGCACCCGCCAAGTAGCTGCTGAGTTGACATCACGTTGAGGAAGGCGTCGCTCAGTTGCCAACAGAGTGCCATTAGGGTGCCACTCAGCTCAGCAGCTACATAACAGGTGCCTGATGGGTGCATTGCCTACTTACCTATAATCTAAATGAATATGACGACGATTTGTTGAGGTGAAAATGTTACACATACCCACTTTAAAAAAATTCATAGATGGAATCATTTTTGTGTTGACACTGTGTGGATGCATTTACAAACAAGATAAAATAGTAAGTTGTTGGCATTTTTACCCAGAGAAGTGACTTTTGGACAAGGACAAGTGCCTCAAAAAGTTAATGTCGAACCCCTGGATAAAAAAAAGACACTCCAGTGTTGAAGAATATACACAGTGGAAACATCAACAGAAATGTCTCAATCTACTCCTGTAACATACTCCACTTCTCAGCAGTCTTAACATAAACTCAGTATGTTTCAAGCTATGCAAGTTACAGCTGTGCTAGCAGCTCTGTGAGGCTGTCCTTATGCATATTGGAGCTAAATGCCAATATCACCATGCTAACCTGCTAGTGTTTAGTCCCCAGAAAAAAAATGTTTGCAGTGTACATTTCTGTACACCATGAATACGTTTCATATGTCAATGATAACTTTGTCATTGGAAGGTGGATGGAAGGGTGGATGGCACGTCACCACACCTGCTTCTATACCAACAAACAACAATACTGGTTGTGTTTTGGCAACCCTTCGTCATTTCTACCAGTGTTCCACTATTCCACTATTCATCTTTATTTCCAAATACAGTGAAATTCTGGCGCAGAGCTTTTATTTTGAAGTGCCATTTCCTGCTGTAGAGTGAGTGACCAACAGACATTTACTTGACAGAGACAAACTAGCTTGACAGCTAGCCAAACGCCAGTATGATGCTGAGATTTTATACAGCTGTTCAGTTGATAGTCAGGATGTTGTAGAAACTGTAAATAATTTCTAATATATTACTCACAGTATGTTGAAACACACAGGAAGTGGTAGTGCTCTTGAAGGTCTCGTCAATTTTAGTATTTAATGTGAAATAATTATGAGTAACTCCACCTTGTTTGTGTTTATAGACACATCCAGGACCTACTCTATGTTTATGAGCATGTATGCAGTCATGTATGACTGTACAGCACTAACCAGGGCATTTCACCATGATGAATATTCATTAATGTAAATGAGGGGGCAAACCTGCAGCCCCAATCATCCCTGGTTATTCATAGCTCTTAGCTGCCCATCTTCTGCATGCATTATTAATAGGCTAAGTTAAATACCAAACCTGAAACCTACTTGACCCCCATTGATTTGATACTTGGGCTGCTCTGCATTCATTACACTAAAGCTGTACGTTATCTTCTGGTAACTGCTTGTGAAAACTGTGATTTGTGTGAATTTGTGCAGCAATATCAAAAGAAAACTTTTAAACAGATGATAGTTTCTCATCAATGTGGACATCTTCATAGATGCTGTTGATCTGGATCATCAAACTGACTCCTTTGAGGACCAACATTTATGCAAAGTGTATTCTTATCTTGTTCTTATCTTCCTTTCTTTTTCTAGTTTGGGAGAACAGAGGTAATAGACAACACGCTAAACCCAGACTTTGTGCGGAAATTCATTTTGGACTACTTCTTTGAAGAGCGACAGAACCTCCGATTTGACTTGTAAGTAATGTCCACACCTATGTGTATGTGTGTCTGCTTTATTATGGTGTAAATATTTGCTGAGAGTGCTACTTGTTCATGCACCAGACACTGTAAAGGTCAGCTCGCATTTAAGGTTCAAAAGTTGATATTTGGTTTGGTCAGTCTTTGAAACCTCTTCTAGAAAGCAGAAATACAAACTAGGCTTCCCTTGAACTTTGGAGAAGCTCCAGATGTCACATGCAAAATGACAAAACGGTCTGATAATTTGATTTTTTTTTACACCCTACAAATATCGCTGCTTTTATCTTAGATTTTTCTTTCTTTCTTTACAGCACAGTTTTCTCATCCTCTCTAAATCACTCTCAGTATCTGTAACTTGAGAGATGGTTGAGTAGATTGCATAATGCATGTGCCACTTGATTAAAATTCATTCATGCCACCTAATACTGGCTTATTATAAAACAATTACAGAACAAAAGGCTTAATTTGATCATAAGATGTACTTAAAAGTAGGACATTTTACCACCTTATTACATCTACATTTATTTGAAATGTTCTCAGATGATGTGTTGCATATTCACACTAAGGTTTTTTTTTATCATAAGCTATACAGACACAAATCTTCCTCTTTTACCTTAACAACTAGACAGTAATTTATTGCACAGAAGCTCATCATAGCCTTTAACAAGGGCACCTGCCTTTGTTGAGATGCATTGCTGTGCTCACTGTACTGGTTGGTACTTTAAAAGCAGTGTTGGTGTTGGTCCAATATTACTTTTAACACTGATTTTTTTGGCTGATTGTGGAATTGGCATGCCTACCACTAAGTACATCCTCCAAATTAGTAAAGTAATAAAGCACTTAATTACCAAAATGCAAACTGTGTTGAGTTTCAAAGCTCAGCACTAGTGAGCTTGAAGGACATTGTGGGATCTGTGAGTGGTGAGTGCTCGTCTGGGTCCAGCACTTGGAATGCGCCCACTCCGATGAGTTGACTGATTCGTCTAGCATCATAACAGCACCTTGGTTAAATAAAGACCAAAAGTCGCTATCCGTAAGGTTGTGTCTCTGCACTCTGTACTGTACCACATAAAGACACAATATATGGCTCTGTATATGCATGTGTTAAAAGCTCTGCGGCCGCATCTCTCACTTCATTAGTGTTCCTTTGTATAGAGGCATAAGATGCTATCTGCAGGAGACACTGGGTCTTTAGCTTTATTAAGCCACCAGACTGCCTGTAGGTGAAGGGATTCTCTTTCTCAGTTTGCTCTCAGATCGTATTCCTCATTGAATTACAGAGGGGATTTTAGTGGCTTTATTTTATTAGATGGAGACTAATTATGTTATAATCTATGAACCAGGGAGTCACGTCCGCAGTCCAACTGGGATCTGAAAGTTAGAGTCTGTGAGGAGGAGTTAGTGTTGCTGCATCATGTGTGATTTTGCACCATGTGTGGGTGGAGGTATTTCTATATGTTAGGCATAAGGGTTTTGCTATATTTCACAGCTGTATTGGCATCGGTCTAATCATAAACATATTTTCTGCTAAAGCTGTAGTTGGTAAAAAATAACTTGTGTCGCATTTGCTGAAACTGGCACTATATCCTGGCAGTAGTACATTAGACAGATAGCCCTATTCCTTTGTCTTCTCGTAGTTCTTCTAAGGGCCCTGATGGTCAGCTGTCGAACAATATTGAGCCATCAGTGAGTGTTTGTTGCCCTAGTTTTTGTGGTGTGTCCCACATCATCACTAGTCAGCCCATTTTTGCGTTTTTTTTGTTTTGTTTTTTTTCTCAACACGCTGAATCGGCATCAGACCCAGCGAAGCCTGTCTGTGGGTGAAATAAATCTGACTGGCAGTTCAGCTCAGTTTACAAGGAGAGAAACGAAAAGAACACCAATTTGTTAAATGAGGCCATGTTAACACGAAAACAATCCGCTGAAAAGGGAACTATTTCCTATTTTCGTTTTTCGTTCAACGTTTTGATAACAATTGCCGTGCACACGGATCCACAAAAATGACCAAAAACGCTGTAGTATCCATACCATGCCAGTAGTTGGCGGTGTGACGTTGTAATGAAACAACACGCGCCTGCGCACATGTGCTTCCATCTGCAAAGCTGTGATGTACTAACAAACAAAATGGCAACCAAATAAACGTTTGTCTGGACAACTTTGCTGGAGAAGCGTTGATAAATTCAATAGGGTGAGCAGCACAAACAGAGCTCGGGAGTCCACCATTGTAGTTGTCACGGTCGACTTTCTCGCGCATGCCTAGTGACCGGAACCATAATGGGCATGTGCGAAAAGTCTCTGTTTTCAGAGGAACTGCATATTGTTACTTTACATGACAATGGAGACAGTGCTGTTTCAAAAAAATTGAACTCTGGAACCCGTTTTCAAAACGTTGCATTTTCAGGCACCCAGAAAGCTGCTGTTGTGTAAACGATCGGCCAAAACACAACTTAAGTTTACCGTTTTCGGTTAAAATTGTTGTCCTATAAACAGGACCTGAGATTATTTTTTCTAAATTATCTTTTTGTGTCTTTCCTTGGAGGAACTTCTAATGCTTTTACGTTTAGACTTAAGATCATGAAATACCTCTTAAGTGAAAGAGCAGAAGGTTAACACTGCTTCATTGCTGTGTTTAGTGTGTGTAAAGAGTGTGTGTATGTGTTTGTGTGTGAACTCGGTAATCTTTGGATAGAGAGTCCTGCACACTGCCTGGTGTGCAGCGTTATCTAGGCCAGTGGTTGGCGAGCAAGAAGTGTTTGTCTTTGCAGGTGAGGCAAAGTTTGAGGTTCCTAAGGGAAATTGAGCTCTTAAGCATAAACAGTTCGGCATTGTTTTTCACTAGCACGCAGTAAATATCCTCTGATCTTTTAAACATGTGCTAACTAGCGTCTCAACAATATGACAAATACAATATATAGCCTGCTTGTGTGGAGAGATATTTCCTCTCACACAGGCGCAGAACGTACGTGCTAGTCGGGTGTTGGCTGTAGTCACACTGTGCGATGTACTCACCTGCAACTTTTTGGCTGATACACAGGCGACAAGAGGCAACACAACAGTCAGCTTTAGTCGCCACTAGTTCTTTGATGGTGTGTTTGGGCCAGAAACTGGCATTTTTTTGGGAATCCTGTGGGTACTGGGGTTCTTGTGGGAGTTAAATTTAATATTCATCACATGACTGGGATGGACAGGATATAAAGTGAATGGGAGCAGGTGGGACAGGAATCATCATAATAACACTGTTTAGCTAGCAATATGTAGTTAGTTAGTCGTCAAATATGAATTGCGATTATGTCACTGAATTGTCTATTTCTTTTCTCAGAGGTTTGTAGAAACATATTTTAGTGTACTTCTTGGCTGTAAAATGAGAGCTAGTTTGACGGTTTATAAACTGCGGTTCACAAGCAGTGATTGACATGAGTGACAGCTGTGTTAGAGAGTCCTCGACTCATATGGGTTGTTTTCCAACAGCTGTGGTGGATTTATGAAAATACCATTAGATGCACTACAAGGCGGAGAAGGAACAGACTGTCTCATGTACTACTGTCAGCATTTTGTGAGAGTTTCATCAGGCACTGCAAAAAGTTATTTTAATAAAAGTTAGCAACTGTAGCTTTATATGATTCAGTAGTGTTTAAGAAGTCTTTATTCTCTCTGTGTATCCATACATAGACTGGTGTTTTACTATCTCAGCTGGTCGCTCTGCCACAACACATACTTGTACTCTCATCTCACAAGAGAAGTGTCACCGGGCCATGTGGACAGTCCCACTCCAAGACAAAAGCAAATCTGATGTGTGCGTCTTGTTTGTGCAATCCCACATACTGTGTGTGGCCATGGTGACAGCCGTTTGCGCTTGTATGTGCACGTGCTCTTGGCTATGTGAGCGATGGTAACCATAACAACCAGGGTTCCAGGGGATGGTGGGGGTGATATTGGAGTGGACAGGTTTCCTTCAGGGAAAGAGAAGCATTTAACCTTTCATATCCACTCTGCCTGCTCTACTTATGACCCAGTGTTCACTACCACACTGAAGTGGATTTTTTTTTTTACCTGAAATGTGTATACAAGTTTTTGAGTTGTGTGTTTTGTTGTGTGACCTTGCTACTGGTTCTATTATTTAACTTTATGCTTCCCACTTGGAAAAAAATCCATGTTCTAAAATGATTTTTATAGCTGCCTTGGTCCTTTGGCCTTCATGTGAATCACTTCCAGTTGCTGATAATAGCCCTGTTTAGATGCTTGAACTGTGCACAGCGGAGCACTTGAATGTGTTTTTTATATCCCACTCTCTCTGAAAAAAATCCATGGGTTATTATGGTTTACCGTTTTGGCCCCATTCCTCTGGAACCCCCTCGACCCTTCTGTCAAATCAGATGAGTCAAACTTCTCAACTTCTCAAAACCCATTTACGCCAACTTGTCTCCCTGCATAGAGGCTTTAATTTATTTGTGTCCTCACTATTTGTGTTGGTGTTCTTTCTGTATTTATATGTTTCCTATTTTAGCTTAGTTTCTTTTTCTTACTTTCATACCTGTATCATGTGAAGCACTTTCTGATTTGTTTTTAGCCCTGTTCGCATGAGACTAGTATTACCAGGAGACCTCATGTGACTTAAATATTGGCCCTCCGCATCCGTGTTTCATGCGGTGTATTCACATGTTAAGCAGAGTCTGTGTTTTAATTGGATTTATAGACATTAAACCCAAGATGTGCTGCACACAGTCATTTGTAGCACTGCTCTACACAATACAGAATCACTACAAAGCACCACTGGCAGTGATGGTCAGTGTTAACCTCCTTTTGTCTTTTTTCCAATTATGCTTTTTATTGTTTCCTTGAGAAGAAAGAAATGAGTCTAAAGCAACGTACACTATAACACATAGTTGCTTGTACATACCATTTTACTTCCTTTTGTCTTTTAAATGTTGGTTAGACAAACAACTGATTCTATGACACATTGTCACGGGTCATGCAGCTCTTTGAAAGTCATAAAATGTCATAAATCCAATTAATTGCATTATCCATCTTTAAATTTCAAAATGATTCAAGCTCATCTGCATGAAAGTCAATGTCAATGTCAGTGTCAGCTTTATTTATATAGCACCTTTAAAACAGCCAACAGCCAACCAAAGTCCTTTACAGTTAAAATAAGCAAAAACAAATGCCTTCCACAGTTATTACAAATTACTAGAGGTAGCCTAATACTACAGTAGAAGTAATACTGTAACCATACATAAAGGGCTTTAAAAGGTGCTATGTAAATAAAATCTTACTCACTTATACCATCAATTTATCAGAATAAGTGTCAAATTTCACATTAATATGAAACACAAATTGGTTTTCCAGAACAGAGAACTTTTATCCCATACTACTTGTGTGTGCTTGGTTAAAAATAACTTTTTTTGTATGTATACTGCAAAGACACACACAAGATGTGCACTCTCCCTATAGTCATGCTCCGGATATATAAGCACAGCTATGTTATGTGACTTTCTATGCCTTCTGATTTGTTTAGGTAACTGAATAAATGTATGAATACATGTCTCTATGCCTGCTGAGTGGTTTTCTGTATGGAACTGACCCTTTGAGGGACTGGCTTTTTGTTAGTCTGTTTGTATATCTATGTGTGTGTTGTTGTTAATGTAATGTACATGTGTGTACGTGGACCTAGCTTGCTAACATGTCTGACAGCTGTAGATAGCTGGCACTGCCAGCATGCAGAGGGTAACACAGTCTGCGATGATAATAGATGAAAGAATCTTTCCTCCCTCGGGATCATGTAGATGGGATCTATGTGAAAAAAAAACTGTAATGGAGCGGAGGTTATGAAATACTACAGTGTGTCCTCTGAATAGGAATTACAAGACCGCACTGTGTGGGGTAGACCTCTCTGCAATATCAATTTCTAGTGATAGTGTATGCATCTCAGAGAAGCATAACATACTATCACTGTCACTGCACAACTTTGGTAATCCCCAGACTTTCCTTCCAGTGCCACCATAAGGTTCACTATTGTTTTTTGTTGCAATAATTTAACTATGTTCCCCAGAGCATGGACTGTAAAAACTCTGACCCTACATATACCACTATCATCACATCAAAATGTCACTTTGTCCACAACCTTGGTTCATAACCAAATACCTGTGAAACTAGTGACATTCCCATCAGCCTCATTTTTGTCTTTTGTGCTAAGTAGCAAAAATATTAGTATGCTAATAGGCTACAATAAGATGGTAAATATTAACATGCGACTATCATTATAGGTGATAGTGTTTGTTTGAGGATTTAGCTGTGCGTATATTCAGTCAACCTCACAAAGGTATTAGCAAACCTTTACACTCTTATTTTGCTTCTTAATGAGAAGGTCAAAGTTCATGGTTTGTGGCAGATCAATAAATGAGTAAGATAGGGTTCAGTGTTTGTATTATTAATGTTTGTATACATACTCAGGGTCCTAGAATAACATTGAGACAGGGTGTCTTGAATGACAAGTTTACAGCCCACTCTCACTGAAAAAATGGCCATATACTGTAGGTTGACTGTGCAAGCATGTTATTACGACCCATATTTATGCTTATGTAAGGCAGTGCCTTATAGTGGCTGCAGTAATTATTATGGGAGCAGACGAGGAAGTGAGGTGATGTGGTGTAAAAAGACAGTCCCAATAGGCAGCGATGGTGGATGGGTCAAACAAGCACAGGACTTTTATCCAGGACACCTGTGTTTGTGCCCTGAAGTCAACGTTGACTTCTTTTAATAACGTAGCATTGTATGCTAGTTTGTGTAGTGTACCACAGTAGGTACTAGGGATGCCTCACATCGGTATCGGCCAATATTCGCCTTGTTGACTGCCAATTGGCCTGTCTGCAAATAAGATGACATTCACAGATGGCAGTGGTCGATGTTTTTGCACATGGGAGACGTTTCCATTCAGGACTTTCTGATAGAAATCTATGTATTTTAACCCAAACCACAATTTTCCTTACCTTAACCACAAAATGGCTTTCTGGCAGAAAGCCCCGAAGGCAGACTTATGCCAACAGTAATGTTTTTCAGTTGTGTCACATCAATTTCGCGCAGGCTAAAAACCTGGGCTCAAAACTAACAGTGTCCTGTTGTCTCAGGGACAATAGAAAATGTGTTTGAGACAAACAGAGATCTTGTGAACAACAAATCGGTGTAGAAATCGGCAGGAGGAGAGCTAGTTAACGTTAGCTCTAAGCAGCCGGTGGCCTCAACTAACAGCTAAAGTAGATTGATTGAGTGATTTCATTGTCAGTTTTGTGCTGCACCAAGCAAAGCAGTAAACATGAAATAATTTAGAATAAACTTGTGTAAAACAGAGCTGTTTAGTTTCTGAATAAAATGCACAATACTTAGCTTTGAGACAGTATGAACACATATGGACACTGATGATAAGATATGTGGTTGTATTTAATCATTTTGAATACCCAGTCATGCTTTGGACTCAGATTAATTAAGAATTCCAGTTACCTAATGGTCAACACACACACACACACACACACACACACACACAGGATGTACATTATCCCCAACATTCTTGTCAAGTAACTAAATTACCCTTCATCCCTCTCTCCGCCCCAAAATATTACTGACCAAAGGGCGATCCATTCTTAGTGGCAGGTGAAATGACCTGAGCTGTGAAATGACCTGAAATTGCTGAGTGAATGGCTCGTCTGATTGCTTCTCATTCCTTAGAGTAGTCTCCATTGGAGGGCCCATTTCTGGACACATTTTCCTCTTTGCAAGTATTGTGCGTATGAGGGACCTGCAGATGGAGTAGAGGAATAAAAAAATGTGAAAATATTCAAACACATACCAAAACAAATAACATGGCAGCCCACCGAAACCTACACTAATGAGCAGAGATGGAAACCCAGAGAAGAACGGACATTATTACTTATTATTTGCTCAGTAGCACAGTATTTTTCTCTACATCTCTCACATGTATGTATGACTGCCAATTAGTCCATAGATGAAAGATTCCTGTGATGCCGAAAAGCGAAATACCTGAGGTCTCTTGTGAGATCCCCCGTGACAAGCTGCTTGGCCCCGTACTGATTTACTTTGTCTGTAATACCTTGTTATATTTCCAGCTGAGCGCCTGTCACTCTCCATCAGTTTCTAATGCACTGACTCTCACTGTCTTTTCCTTTTTGTGCAGGTATGATGTCGACTCGAAGAGCGCCAACCTGTCAAAACACGTGAGTACTTAATTACGCGTGTTTTTGTGTGCACATTGCGGCATGTGTGTTTGCTGTTATTTTTGTCTCGTTGCACTTTTGCTGATTTCATTTGGAGGGTCTAAGTGTTTGTGTGAGCGTGATTGCTGTCCTCGTTATTACCTCCCATTAGCCTCATTTTCAGCCACATAACAGCAATTTGGCCATTACAATGAGTGTGTTTATCATCTTCTGTAATAGCACAACAAACAGCCTGTAGTTCATTTAGAAATGAATAAACACTGATTTCCCCTGTCCTCCCTTTTTTCCCCCTCACTGATAGCAGTGATAAGCATAACGGTAATTAAGAACAACAGTGTGATAACTTGGGCTTAGCCAGTAATAGCTGTGTCCTGTTGTCTACATCCTGAGGATTGTAGCTCAAGCAGTCCGAGCTCATACCAGTGACGGTTTTCTGGTCATGTTTAGAGCCGTTCATTAGCCATGTAAGCCAGTTGTTATTCATATGTTTGGTTGATTTTTGATCACTGGATCAATTGTGATACAACATGGTAATTAGTGAGCTACAGAGAGATGCTGGCAGGTGGATTTTTGTCACCTTCAGACAGAGTCAGGCTTTCCCCGCGTTTTCAAACTTTCTTTCTAAGATAAGCTGTCTGGTAGCTTTAAGAAATCGAATAAGCTTAATTTCCAAAATGTGTTACTTTTCGTTTAAAACAACACTTCACCCACAAACTGACCATTTGTATGTCAGCTACTCGCCACTACAAACATTCTTTATGAATCAAAGTCATTAGGGATGGCAATTGGAAACATGAGTTAACAAAATCTCACTCAACTCTTGCAGTATAATTCAAGTCTCATTTACCCAGTCATATGCTCAGACTTCCTTAACACATACATTTATGCTAAAATGTTAACATATAAAAAACTTCAGCCTCAAAATAGCGTGCCCTAAGCATGCCTGAGCACACGTGTGTATAAGCTCTCTGTGAGCAGAGTTCATATGCACCCGTGTGCCCAGACATGCTACTCAGATGTTGTAAATGGTCTGCAAAGGTCTTAAAAGGCATCAAATTCATTAATTTTGAAGTATGGCCTTATTTGGTTCACTTTCTTATAAATTTAAATTTTGTTAAACCAGTCTTTCAAAATTCTTAAAAATGCTACAACATGGGATTTTATGAATTGCTTTTTTTTCCTCAACATTGCACTGTAAAATCTCAAAATGATATAATCGGTAACCCCTGTCCACTAGCTATAGCTGTCACTAGGGCTGCAACGATTAGTCGACTAATTGATGACTAATCGACTATTAAAATAAACGGTGACTATTTTAGTAGTCAACTAATCGGTTTGAGTCTTTTTTCATAGAAAAGTACTATAAAAGTACCCCAAAATACCCTTATTGCAGCTTCTTACGTTCAAATATTGGCAGCTTTACACACTCCCCCATGACGGTGAACTAAAAGCCTTTGACGTGAGTACAAAACAAGACATTAGATGACATGATTTTGGGGTTTGGGAGAGACAGGCTGACATTTTTCAACATTTTAACGCATTTTTCGATAAAATGATTAGTCGACTAATCGAAGAAATAATCGACAGATTAGTCGACAATGAAAATAATTGTTGGTTGCAGCCCTAGCTGTCACTGTAATCTGGACAACATGGAGAAGTGCAAATCCAGTAAAACTGGCTATTTAAGCAACATTTAGCAGCATGGCCAAACAAGTACAAGGTAATACATACGAGGCTCTGTATTTTATGCAACAAGTTTTTGAAACTTGGCACAGTAGAAATCAAGGCAGTGAAATCCCATGTGCAGTGTTAAAAAAATGAAATGAGACTTGGATTATGCTGAGAGATGAGAGAGTTTGTGAACAGATGTTTTGAGATAGTTTTGCTTTTATTAAACTTGGCCCCTGATACCTGAATTCATGAAAAATGTTCACTTTTGATTCTCTGTTCACCATGGAGGCTCGTGAGAAAAACAAAGTTTTCATCACGATTTTAAGAGAACATGCAGTGAATAACTGATACACAGATGGTCATTTTGCAGGTGAAGTATTGCTTTAATTGGTGGCACTGTTATCGTACAACAGTGAGGGAACTACTGTTTAAATGTACAGCTTTAATCCGTTCACTGAGCTGTATGTGTTTCCCGAATGTCTGTGTTTGTCTTTAATCTTGTGTGCACATTTGTTTTCACGAAATCGGCTTTTGAGTGATATCTGAGACGTGTTTGGGCAGGTGTTCGCTTTGGTAACAGTCAATACTGACCTGGACTGTCACTGTCCAATGCATGGAAGTCAAAGCAACAATAAAAATGATGGGAGGCAATAAATGATAATAACAGCTGTCTTCTCTTCTCATAAACTCTGGCGGTTACTGGAAATTTACATTTATAGCTTCATTGTCCATAATGGCAGTGTGCTGTCAGGCTTAGTTTCCTTTTTCTATTCATCAGTATTTGTCCACTATCTGGAAGAGAATCACTGTGACTGTGTATATACAATATGTGTCCGTGAAAGACTCATATCAAGTTATTCTCACTTGACTTTTGTCTCTCAGTCTGCCTCTTAGCAGACTCACATTGTGCCTTGAGGTGACACACTCCAGGCCTGTGCTCTTGTCAGTATTTGCTCTTCAGTGTCCGACCCAATCGGTCTGCCCACATATCATATGACATAGCCAAACCATCACATGACTTCCTTTGTCTCATAAACAAATGGAAAGAGGCAGGGATTACTGGAAGACACATTTAGAGGATGGGGAATTTATGACTTGAGGCTTTACAGACGAGTATGTCATCTTTCAGCACGCTTCATCCTGATGTTAGAAGCCTACAGTGCTATAAAAGACTATTATAAAGAAAACTTTCCTTTGTGCAAGTGATTTCTTGATAGTTTACAGAACTAAACAGAACTAAACATAACTTGCAATAAGAGAACAGCACTCAGACATGTTTTGTGTCCTACGGTGATAATAATGCTACAACGCTAATGTTGATCTGCTGTCCGAGGGGGATTAACAACTACTACTTAGAATTACAAAACAAAATATAAGATGATCATGTGAAACATATAATCTCATACTGCATGCTCTGTTTTAATGGTGTATTTTTTTATTGGAATATAGCTAAAAAATAAATGAAACAATGCTTGCCCTATCAGGGGACATCTGGTTAGGAACATAAGAGACCTGTTTCCCCTGTTTTCCCATTATGTGACTGTGGTATTTCTAACAACACTTTGCCAACAGCTACCCTGAAATTGGGAAGAATTATATTTATTTTTCGGGCTTTTTGTCATAGAGCCATTTCATGACCTCAGGGGAATAAGTGTAATAGATGTAATTGAGGCTCTCTGTCGAGGCACAGGACACAAGGCTGTATTTTCTGTACTTTTGTTAAAGTCCTCGTCGAAGGGAATGGAGAGCCAGTAGGAAGAGGATTTTATGAAGCCGTTATGCTCAATTACAGCAAACTGATGTGCAGTAACAATATGTGGTTTCAGACTGAATGGGGCAATGCAATGCAAACAGGAACCTTACAGTATGTGCAGTCACATTGATTTCAGTGCTGGACCGTAGTGGTGGTGTTACCTTCAACTCCACATTGTACAAACCGCAAACCAAACCACCATCAAATATCATCAATATCAGTGGCCAATTTTATGCCCAAGGCACACCAACTGGCAAGCCAAATACTCAATACAAGGCACACCTGTATTTATATCCTTTATATCCTTCAATAATAATGTGTGGTTATCACAAAATCCCACTGCACACCTGGATTGGCACACCAATTGAGAACCACTGATCTAGGCTATATTAGCAAGCATACACTTCATGACAGTGATGACGCTTAAGAGGCTGTAACATTTGCTATCACTCACCAACACCCCAGCTTCCTGTCTGTTTCTATTACACCTTCAAAAAGATCATTTGTGCCCAAGGTGAATGGGTTTAGGGTGTCTGCTGGCTAATGTTAGCTAAACAAAGGGCAAATGCTAACTTAGTTTTTGTTATTAAAGAAAAAAAGAATATACAATAGAATTAGGAGTGCTGCTTCTAATCAGGTGCCAACTAGTCATTAAAACAAGCAAGTGAAATACAGACAACACAATCATTTTAAAATAGGAAAATAAGTAGTGTAAAACTTTGCTGTATCAAGCTGTTGTACATGTAAAATAAACTGTGGATTGCACTTAATAACTCGAGTATTGCTCTTGCAATGACCTGAATCTGGCCAGATAAAGTATCTATCTCAAAAAAATCTGTAAGGCGTTCGAGCCATAGTGGTTCAGCAACCGACCCTGAAGTCTCGGAGCATCTAATGAGCAAAAAAATTGAAATCATGGGTTGTATAGATGTGGGTAATTTACAGCTTAGAAAGTTCATTTCAAGGCTCAAGTTGTTAATGTAACCAGTGACATCCCTATTATTGCATCTATAGCCAATGACTCATTCTAACTGCTGTGGCATGTATACCCCCAGCAATAATTCATAGTAAAGTTTACTTTTGCATGAGTTTTCAGAGTTTAGAATTTTTGAATGGCTGAATGGAAGCCATCAAATGCACTGCTGGCATTTATTTGTAAGTATCTGTATGAAACGAAGTGTTGATAAATTGATACTAGACTGAGAAGCACTCCCAGTCTCTCAAAAGCAAATTTAGTCCCTCTCTGTTTCCTTTAAGGACTTATTTTTCCTCATTTGTTGTATTGTTGCTGTCCCTCGTCTGCTCTCATCTCTCTTCCTTGTCTTTCCCTCTCACTGCTGCATTCTGTCACCTGTTCTCTTTTATTTCATTGCCATACCATTTTTCTCTCACTTTCTCTCCATCTTGATCTCTCCATTTCCCATCCCCCCCCCCGCCTCACTTTCTTGTAATCAATAATCTCATACAAGACCAGACAGGCATGTTGGCTTGGAGGCAGCGTACCAGCATTGATGCAGGTCTCAGGGGGAGGGAAGGCCAGAGAGCCAATCCATTAGATGGTGTTTTAACATGGGAGTTGGAGGCTGCAGGCACACCTGGGAACCGGGTGAGAAAGAGTGTGGAATATTAGAGGGACAGGTTGAGAGAGTGGGGGACACACACTTTCCACTTTATGAGATCACACTCATTTCTGTCTCCATATGCAGATAGATAGGAGGCCAGGCTGATCTATTTTGAACACATTTCAGAGATGCATTGAAAATCAAAGGCAGATCAAGGCATCTGTAAAAACTCTGTGTACCACCTTTCAATAAGTCACCTTTTAGAAAGCTTTTGTGAAGCTTCTGTCTCACTGGACTAAAAATTCACCAACACCCACTAACATCTGGCTTTTTGTATTTCTGTATTTAGCTGGAAAGGTTTCATCTGCATTCATACTCAGAACAAATGACTCTAGTCATGGATATTTAGTTGATTGGCAGTGATGGAAACATTACACCCGGGTGGACGCACTATTTTCGCCCCTCTTCTGGCACGATGCAATGATGTGCTGCCACAAAATACCATCCGTCTCTGTCAAAGCAGCGCTGGAACATAATTTCAAATGAGTCAGCAGGAGTTGGAATGAGTGGCTGAATAAGTGACAGATATGACAACAAGTAACCACCCAAACATTCAGTGGGCTTAGTGCTGCTTTCTGTTGTTTACTAACCCTGTTTTCCAGCATGTTTGTGACATACCCATTGATGTATAAAGAGAACTGGATACAACATCGGAGGCAGGGCCCCGTTCATTCCTATGACAGTTACCCAGTGGCCCATGAAGTCAGAAGTTCGACTCTTGTGTGTAAAATTTCAGGATATTCCACTCTGCTTTCGCATCATTGTGCCATAGAGCAGGCACACTAGAGACTTCAGACTTCACTACGCTAACGTGGATGAAATAATTTAACTTAACTGGACTTTCAAAGCATTATTGGACCGACTATCCAACACTGATAGCGAATTGAGTTATTTTGAGAGTTACGTAAGAGGATTTATACTAGAGTTGATACCGATACCAGTATCGGAAATGCCTCCGATACTGCCTAAAATGCCATATCGGGTATCGGCGAGTACAGCCTATGACCAATCCGATACCACGTAATGCCTCACGTCATTACGCATATGCACGCTACAGGCAAACGAAACGGAAACGGAGCGGAGTTTAAAAAGCATTCTATTGTAGCCTTTAAAATGTCTTTTTTACCAAATTGTGCGGCTGCACTTTAACCTGTGTCTTGATCTGTGTCAACACTGGATAATAATAATAAAAAAAGTTTTATGGCATTCATTCTACTATTATGTATTAATTTCTTAATATTTTACATAGAGTTTTAGGAGTAGAGACATACAACATTTCATATCCTATCCATTTTTATTTTACGCACTGGTATCGGATCGGTACTCGGTATCGGCAGATACCTTAGGTTCAGGGATCGGAATTGGTATCGGGAAGGAAAAAGTGGTATCGGTACATCTCTAATTTATACCACTCTTATGTCTGTATGGTAAATATGAAGCTACCACTAGCAGCTAGCTATGCTATCTTAGTGCTAAGAGTGGAAACAACTAGACTGGCTGTCAGATTAGCTTTTCAGTTAGCATCCAACCTGGGGTACCTAAAGGAATGGCCACAATTTTTATTGTTTGTGCAGTGCTGTGGAAAGAGAAAAATAAAAACACTCAAAGTTCACCATAGGGCTAACATGGCTGTTCTATACGATTATTTAACTACTCATTCCTTTTTCCATATAGTTTTAGAGTTTGAACAGGATTCAGCAGATCATTGAGGGTGACAGCGACATTCACGTAATATGGTAAACAAGCCAAGCTAGCCCCCCAAGCTCCTGCATGCTTACTGCACTAACCATGTATTGGAAATGTGCAACAACATTTTTTGCACACAGTAGATATCAAACTAAAGCCAGAGACTGTATTGTATTAAGTTGCTGTGAGCTGTAAATTTACCACTTCCAAGCAGAATTAGGATATTTCATCATCTTGGAACCTGACCGGGCAAAGCCTCTCCTCCACCAGGCAGCTACTTCTATCTTACTCAGACTCACCCTGGCTCTGGGTCTGCAGCAGCCTGAAAGCGCTCAATCTCCAGCCGAATCTGGGGACTGAAACGTCCCCAAAAGTACACTGCAATTGATCTGAAATTTCAGCATAAACCCAGTGATACATTAACAGTTCCAGCTCTGCCACAGAGTAGATTTATGGATGAGAGGCATTAAGATCTCAGTATTTTCTTCTTCAAACTAGTATCCATAATGTTTTTTTTTTTTTACTGTCTATAGCCATCTGCTCACACTTGCCACACTCCTTTTCCTTTGTTAATTGCAGTCTTATCCATCAGACAGTTGATTTTTCCAGAACATTACTTAATGGAACAACACCCACACAACTACATTTTTTTCTGATTGTGTCTTTTTTTAGCCCACGCTGTTATATATTTAGCCGTTAGCTGCACACAGCCAGCTCTCCGTTGGACCTCATGCTGGCTACAGTGGCGGTTGCTAGGTGATTTATGACTTTACTGCCCAGCCTCTACATCATAGGCAGTAGAACATATCATAAAAAGTCATTTTAAAATATTGCAGCACTCACTGTGGCTAAAACAAATAGTCATGTGACTATATGCATGCAACACTGGTGAGAGAAATGAGCTCGAGAGGTCGACATGAAGCTGGGTAGATGGATTGATACAGAGACAGAATAACATAAGAGGCTAATCAATGGAGCAAAGAAAATCCATTATGTTAGTGCTGCTTGGAGCGGCTCCAGTCAGATATTAGAGACACTGTCCAATAATGACGAACGAGCTCAACAGCGTGCCCCTCGGTGATATTGGGATCGAGATGGCATGTTTCTGTAATAGCTTTCATTATCGGAGAGAGGGCTCTGCAATTGTTTGTGTGTTTCATACTTAGCTTTTATTTTGATAGCTGTTTCCAGGACTGATACACACAAATTTTTAGTGCATGTACTTTTCTCTCCATCTCTCTGCCCGTCCCTCTGTATCAGCTGTAAAGTTTCATTGTGTGATGGTGATTTAATCTACCAGGAAAGTGGCAAGGGAGCAGAGCGTGGCAGGTGCGAGGGCTAGTGGGAGGAAAGCTCAATCTATTTGGCAGTATTATCTGTCAATGGGGAACATGGAGGGATTTGAAATGGTTTGGCTCTGTAGAGTTGTGCTCTGTAGCGATCAGGGACAAAGGGGATTTTTGTTTCTCTATGGCTGTGAGTAATTATGTCAATTTTGTTTTATCAATTGAATTGAACTGTGTATTTTTGTACTCTGTCTTGCCTTTGTTTTTTTTTTTTTCAACTCTCTCTCTCTTCTCCTATCGGCAGGATTTTCTGGGCCAGGCCTACTGTACTCTTGGAGAGGTGGTTGGATCATTGGGCAGTCGCTTGGAAAAAGCTCTTGGGTGAGTAGGTGTGCCTGTAGCTGGAAGTGTGCTGATATTTAAGTAATTATCTGACCAACGTTGAGTGATGGTCACAGAAAATGACATCAAACAGCTGTCAGGGATGTTCTGCCCTGCAGAGCGGGGCCCAGGCATTTCCTTTGGGAGTTGCTATGTTCAAGCCTCAACTGTGTGCAAGCGTTTCAGATATTTCCATTCTTACCATTGCGTTCTTACCGTTTGAGCACCAAAACCCGAGTGCCATCTAGTTCCATTATATTCAAGAGAGGACAGTTTCTTTACACTGGCTTCCCATCAGGTTCAGGGATTCGTTTCAAGATACTTGTTCTCACGTATAGAGCCCTCCACATTCAGGCGCCTGAATACATCAGTGATCTCCTCCATCCATATATTGTCACTAGGTCCCTTAGGTCTTCAGAACAGGACATACTGGCTGTGCATTTGAAATAGTGGCTCCAACACTATGGAACTTCGGTAAATGATAGTCCGTCAATCACCATCTGTAAGATTGGTACTGTAAATCCCCATCGCTAACTCTACAGTAAATGAACAACAAGGTGACTTTTTAACAACGAGTGTGAAAGCCAGTAAATCTCTGAGCCATATATGTATACAGTGAAGGTATAGAGCTTTAGAGCCATGAGATATTTGCGGATTTACTCTGTACGGGATAATATCTGCTGTTTGGTAATTGGAGTGACTGAATAAGTATCAAGGGTGAATCCCTGACATCTGTTTCTGGATATGCTAAGCTGAGGAACAGTACACACCTTCACTTTTTTAATGAACATACACACACATACACACAAAAACACTCCCACACACTCAAGGGTATTTTTACATATACAAACCAATAGACTTGTAACATTGATTGTTTTCATCAGGCTTGTTAGGCAGTCTGTCTTCTGCAGCAGTACATATAGATCACAGTGTTTCCTTGTGTGCATGTAAGCCCAAGTATACTTTAACATTCCTTTGTTGCTGTTGTAGCACCAGATGTGAGTGTGCAACTTTACAAAGTGTTCTCTGTGTACATGAAGTTATCCGAGTTAATTAAAATCATGAAGATAAAGCAGAACATAATAGATGAAATGAGCCTGCTGTCTTTAAGCTTTAGAGATAAATGCATCCTTTTTCATATAAGTGAAATACAAGAACCCATTCGGGATATCCTCATGTTCACACTTCATTCTCCACTCTTCAGTCGTCCAAAGAAGACTGTCTTCACTCTCAACAATATGACATGCATCACACATAAAGGTTAATGCTGTCAGAGTGACCTGTACTGTGATATTTAGTACGTAACAGCTGAAATACACTTAAATCTGTCACATCAGACTTAAAGCATGTTATCCATCCACAGAGGATGAATACATTTACACATCATTGTCGCTCTTCATCTTTAATTTGTCATCACTGATGTGCATGAGAGCATGTTCTTGTGCAAACCTATGAAGTAACAAGAGTGTGATGTTCAGGATTTTTAACATTCTATTTAAATTCAGAATACTAATAGCCTTTTCTCATCAGTGCAGTGCAGAAATAGGGTGCGGAAATATGGAAAATCTGCATGCAAATGTTACGCCTGACAGCTGTCCTCACTGGCTCTAGTCCAAATTATTAGTGTTCCTATGCTCTATTTTCGTCATAAAAAAGAGTTTCCTCACAAACAGTGCCTGTGTCCACTCCACAAAACACAAACATATCTAGAGAGTGTCAAAATACACTCTCACTACAGCCACAAAGATTCATAGCCTGCAACGACACCACTCAGTAATGTACCAACTACACCAAATACCTGCTCAGACCTTTGAACTACCCAACAATCACCCCGTCATGAAGAAATGTGAGTAGCTTGTTCTTCTTTGGGGATTCAGCCCTTACTACCATCATGATATCACTGCTGCACGGAATACTACATAATGCCAGGGAAACAGGATTGTTTGACTAACATATAAGGTTCCATGACCAACAAATAATGTTAGCAAGTGCAGTTACGTTAACATCTTCATTGTATCAGCTGAAGCAGACACCAAATTAGCTAGTTAGCTGTAAACTGGAGATACGACATCAGTTGGAGCAAAGGATTTCATTTGTCGGACATATATTTCTGCAGGCAGAAATCCGCTAATATTGAGGGCTGAATATATTTCCCCTACACACATGTCTTGTAGGGGTGTGCAAGCATTCATAAGAACCCATACATTCAGTTTTTATAAATTTCTGTGTGAATTTTTCATACAAAAATACCGGTCTTATATTTATTCTAAACCGTTGTGCTCGAGCTACTCCAGCTGTCAAAAATGCCCCTCTGTGCTTCGTTAAAAAACTGTTGGTGTATAAGTAAGTGATAAAGGCTTTTGGCAGTTAAAAAAACATATATATATCATTTTGCCTTCTTTGTGACATATCTCTGCTGCTGTTGGCCCAAATCTCTCTGCCACTGCAGTTCCTCACTGACACAGATATTTTACCAAACGCTGCATAAGAGGAAAGCTGGGATGCAGGGTGCTTAACTGCTCTGTGTTAAACATAACAAATAACCGGCTTTAGTATTAGCTTGCACCGTGCAGTTGTATTAAAATTGTTAACCACAGAAAGTTCATATTAGAATTCTTTGAGCAGCTTCATTAGGAAGCCTAATTAGGATACATCATTACCTAGTTTTATCCGTGATGCTGCTCTTTTGGCCCCCTCTGTTTCACATATTTCTTCCCTCTCATGGCGAAGCCCATTTGGCTCCCTTTCAATTGTGTCTTTTTAATCCAATTTGCTTCTTCATCTGAAGCCTTCGCGAGCCTTGAGATCTAAAAAGGAGGGTGTCGGGGGAAATAACAGCCAAGCTGGCATCCCTTCACTGAACACTGTCAACAACCTGGCAACCTGTGTGTGTCTTTTAGTGTGTGTTCTACTTTTTTTCCTTCTATTCGTTTCAAAGCAACACTGTCATCCACTTGAGCGGCAATCGCCATGGTGATTGCAGTGGCAGGTTTCCCACTCACAGGGAAAGATAGAGACAGAGAGACCTGTCCACCCATGTATGTGTGTTTGCACATGCTTGTACATGCACTATGGACCCCTCCAAAGTGCAGAATGATGTTGTCTGAAGCACTGAAGCGCTCCCCTCCCCTCCCTCCACTCTACTCCTCATCATCCATATAAAAACACACACACTCACAGACAGCACAGCACACACATACTACATTTATTTGTAATATTGACACTAATGGCAAAAGATTTATTTGTTTGTAAATGTACGAGACACGTCGTGCTGAAGACGATCAATCACTTTTATTGAGTATTCTCTTTTACGCTCCCATTTTTATGGCTGCAAAAATGTGCTGAATAGAAATTACAAGATGTTATTGTAATTATTTGGAGAAAAGGTTGTGTGAGAAAAGGTTGTTGGGGAAAATAGATTGAACGGAAAACTTTAATAGCTAAAGAAAAAAGAATGTGGGAGTTGTTTACTTTCAGGTGCTGAAGACATTTCAGTATTGTATAATTCTACTGCAAATATATGCAACAGAAAAATAAGACTGATACATTTATTAGATTTTTATCTTCCACAGGTGTCAAGTAGAACATTTATAGACCCTGTTTTCAAAGACTTCCTGAGTGATTTGGTGCAGACATAAAAAGAAACCCTGTCAACATTTATTAAAAACAAAGGCACAGAAGCCACAGCTGGTGCAGTTGTTGTCTTGCTGGGGTTGTATGTAAGTATGTGTGTATGTGTGTGCCTGTGTGTTTGTCTGCCTATGTGTATATATGTGTGTGTGTAAGACTTTGGCAGACACACACCTGCAGCCTGACACAACTGGGGGAATCTTTAACAATTTTAATGAGTGCTAATTACAGCTAATTACATTGTTCAATCAAACTCCAGTGGGCATTCAGGAGTCTGCGTGGTTGTGTGTGTGAGAGAGAGACAGAAACAGAGAAAGAGACTGAGAGTAACGAGCAACAGAATGCTAAACAATGACAAGCACACTATCCTGCAATGTTTGGCTCTTGCAATTGTTTGAGCAGAACAGGTATCGCATGTGTTTTCATGCGTCTCTGTGTTGTCTGAGCACTTTCAGTCCTGCTGGTGCCTCTTTTCTTTTAATCCCCATTTGACCATTCTTTTAATCCCCATTTGACCATTCTTTTAATCCCCATTTGACCATTACCCATCTCGTAAAACCTCTCCTGAACAGGATCTTTAATTGATGTTATATCAGTTCTCGGACTCTCTAGTTGAGTAGCTGCATTCGTTTGGACATGAATACAACACATTTACAATGTGCATTTTACCGCAGGTTGTGACACATGACCTCTTGTGACCTCTTGTATACGATTGGCTCTGTGTGTTGTCATGAATATGTTGTACACAGGGTCCAATACTAAATTTTTTTACAATTTTTTTTACCAGCCAGGCAGATATTTTACCAGCCAACCAAATAATAATAATTTAAAGGAAAAAAAGTCAAGTCACTTAATGCTGCCAGTGGATGAGACTGGGGGGTTGGCGGCAGTGGTGGCAGTATTTGTCTGATTTGAAGGTTTAATCTGTAACAGAAAACGTGTGACTGATGGTGATTTTAATAAATTAATCTATCATAATTAAAACAACTGGAGACTGAAACCAAACTGATATATGGGCAGGGTTCAATGCTAAGGTTTTTTTTCACTTGGCGGAGTCAGTTTTTACTTGCCCTATAAAAATTGTTTAATTTAAGCAGCTATCAAATAACAAAGACTGCAGTTATTTTTATGTTATGTAATCTTTATTCACACTGTATTTATTAATTAAAACAACATATGTCATGTATTGTAGCTTAATTCCTACACAAAAATGACAGTGTCAGGGCTTAAAGTGAAAAATTTGTCAATCGTTCTCCGTCTATAATTTTGCACCCTACTTGAGCCATGCCCACCTCTATTTATTTTTCACCCCTCTCTCCAGTTCTGCTGTATTAACATCGGGTTTAATATATTTTGCTTCCATCTCTCTG